TAACTAGTTGGGGGTATAAAAAAAATATATTGTAAGTGGTAGTATATTTATATTCAAATTAAAAATATTAATGTTTGTACATATTTATAATTTGCTTAAAGTTCATAAAAAAAATATTCTTTATATAAAAATAAAGTTTTATACCAAAAAAAATATTCTTTATATTAATTTGCTTAAAAATTCTTGTGTCTATTCAAAATATTAATTAGTACTAATTTGTTTAAAAATTCTTGTGTCTATTCAAAATATTAATGAAATATGAGTACTGATTAATATTTTGAATAGGCATAAGAATTTTTATAAATATTTATAATTTGCTTAAAGTTCAGAAAAAAAATATTCTTTATATAAAAATAAAGCTTTTTTTTTAATCAAAGAAGAATATATTAATTCAAAAAACAAAGTCAAGTAGAAAAGTGATTTAAAGAGGGTCCAACCCTCCAAAAGACTTAATTACATCATAAGACTAGTCAAATGTTTCCTAATTTTATTGTTTTGCCAGCCGTCTATAAATCACATTATCTATGATTTTTGCAACCATGTTTGTATTATCTACTATATTTTCAAAAGTAATATTATTTCTGTAAATCCAAATGTTGTAGATGGTTTCGGCTGTTACCATCTTAAAAATAAAGTTTTATACCAAAAGAATATTCTTTATATTAATTTGCTTAAAGTTCAGAAAAAAAATTCTTTATATAAAAATAGTCTTTTTTTAATAAAGAAATACTTTATTTATACCAAAGAAAAATAATCCTTTATTTAAAAATAAATTTTAATATCAATAAATACTAAAAATAATATATTTTAAAGAAAATTTTAATATTTATTAATAACAAATATAATTTTGAAGTATAATAGTTTATTGAATTCTTAGCAAATTTTATTATTTTTTATTCACATAAAGTTATATATATAATTATTACGTTGTTACACCGAAATAAGATATATCTTGAATCATACTAAAATATACAATAAAAATTTGTTAATAAAAAATAGTAAAATTTGGGTCAAAAATCAGAAGAAAAAAAAATTATAAATATTTTGAATCATATTTCTTTAGTAACTTGAATAGATGTAAAAAATTTTATAAATATTTATAATTTTCTTAAACTTCAGAAAAAAATAAATTATTTATATAATAATAAAGTTTTATATTTATAAATATTAAAAATAATATATTATAAAAAAGTTTTGATTATTTATTAATAACAACGTGGAAATTATTTATTTTTTTATATTTAATTGTATCTATATTGTATGCCTAGTTATCTAATATATTTTTAGTATATTTATATACATTTATAGTGTATATATATATATATATATATATATATATATATATATATATATATATATATATATATATATATATATATATATATATATATATATATATATATATATATATATATATATATATATATATATATATATATATATATATATATATATATATATATATATATATATATATATATATATATATATATATATATATATATATATATATATATATATATATATATATATATATATATATATATATATATATATATATATATATATATATATATATATATATATATATATATAGAGAGAGAGAGAGAGAGAGAGAGAGAGAGAGAGAGAGAGAGAGAGAGAGAGAGAGAGAGAGAGAGAGAGAGAGAGAGAGAGAGAGAGAAAACTTTAAATATATTTGTATTTAATATTTCTATGTTGTTATACCGAAATAAGATATATCTTAAATCATATTAAAATATAAAACAAAGCAATTTTTTAAGTTATAAAAAATATATTATTTATATATTAATAAAGTTTTATATTTATAAATATTAAAAATAATATATTTTAAAAAAAATTTGATTATTTATTAATAACAACATGAAAAATATATTTATTTATGTTTAATTATATTTATATTGTATGTCCAGTTACCTATTATATTTTTATGTCCATTATTATATCGTTGATTATTGTTTATTTATATTCATTAATACATTTATAAGATATTAATATACATTTATATCTATTAGTATATAAAGGTGTGCAGAATCCAATCACGTCTCATTCAAAAAAATTGAAAAAAAAGAACTGCCCAAAAATAAATCTGGTATTAGGTTGGGACAAGTTCGAGTTGACACTCCGGTTATCTAACTCGTCCTAATATTGTAAATGCACATGTGATACTATTTATTTATTTAATTTATTAGTATATTTAAATTATTCCAAACTTTCCATACGTTTTTCCACTTCCCACCTCATAAATTAATATATATACTTAATAAGTACACACATCTTTTCACTTTCCAACTTCCAGACTTCTCTAGTTCTCTTATATCATATATTTTTTATTTTACATTTTACTATGTTTTAGTGAAAATAAAAGGGTGATGACATATATAGAATTAATCATATTTTTTATTTTAAAAAGTTGACTTTAGATGTTTTTATTATTTTTCATTCATGCTAATGATTTTATTCATATTTTTCATTTAAATAATTTTTTTAAAAATACTATAATAAATTTCTTAAGTCATTAAATGTTTTTTTTCATATATTTTGATCAATCTGATATTGTCTTACATTAATCTAGTTTAAATTAACTTATATATTATCGGGGTTTTTATTATAACAACATGAAAATTATTAATAACAAAAGAAAAAAGATGGAGAGTTGATGTTTTGAAAATGTTAGTAGGCGAAACCATCTACAACATCTGGGCTTATCATAATAGTATCACTCTTGGAAACACCGTAGATAATACAACCATGGATACTATCTACAACCATGGATACTAATATCATAGATAATGTGATCTATAGAGGGTGGCAAAATCTTAAAATTAGAAAGCACCTTGTTAGTTATATAATGTACGTTTTGGGTGGGTTGGATCCTCCTGAATAACCTAACTTTATACTGACTGTTTTTTTGAATTAATATATTATTTTCTTTCATTAAAAAAAATATGAAAATTATATTTTTTTTATATATTTAATTACATCTATATAGTATGTCCAGTTATCTAATATATTTTTATGTCCATTATTTTATTGTTGACTAATTTTTATGTCCAGTTATCAACATGGAAATTTTTATTTCTATAATTTTATGTCTATTATTTTTATTGTTGATTAAAATATATTCTTTATATAAAAATAAATGTTTTTTAGTTCTAAATATTAAAACCAATATATTTTAAATTTTGTTTGATTATTTAATAATAAAAACATGGAAATTATATATTTATTATATTATTGATTATTGTTTATTGATATCCATTAATACATTTATATATATATATATATATATATATATATATATATATATATATATATATATATATATATATATATATATATATATATATATATATATATATATATATATATATATATATATATATATATATATATATATATATATATATATATATATATATATATATATAAAAGCACTAATGGATTAAATCTATATTAATATTCTATAAATGTATTAATGGATATAAATAAAGAATAATCAACAATATTATATTAATAATTAATAATTTAAATATATTTGTATATGATTATTATGTTTTTACGTCGATATAAGATATATCTTAAATCATACTAAAATATATAATTATTAAAAAATATTAAAATTTGGGCCAAAGTTCAGAAAAATAATCCTTTATTTAAAAATAAAATTTAATATTTATAAATACTAAAAATAATAGATTTTAAAGAAATTTTTATTATTTATTAATAATAAATTTTATTTTTAAATATAATAGTTTATTGAATTCTAAGCAAATTTTATTATTTTTTATTCAAATTATATTATATTTTTATAATATATATATATATATATATATATATATATATATATATATATATATATATATATATATATATATATATATATATATATATATATATATATATATATATATATATATATATATATTTGGTTTAATCTATACTCAAATTCCATTAATATTTTGAATAGACGTAAGAATTTTAATAATTTTCATAATTTGCTTAAAGTTCGAAAAATATATTATTTATATAAAAATACAGTTTGATATTTATAAATATAAAAATAATATTTTTAAAGTTTTTTTTTCATTATTTATTAATAACAACATGGAGATTATATTTTTTTATATTTAATTATATCTTTATTGTATGTCAGTTATCTAATATATTTTTATATCCGTTATTATATTGTTGATTATTGTTTATTGAGATCCGTTATGTCCATTAATATATATATATATATATATATATATATATATATATATATATATATATATATATATATATATATATATATATATATATATATATATATATATATATATATATATATATATATTAAAAATAATATATTTTACAATTTTTTTATTATTAATTAATAACAACATGAAAATTATATATATTTTTTATATTTAACTATATATGTATCTTATGTCAAGTTATCTAATATATTTTTATATTCATTATTATATTGTTGATTATTATTTATTGATATCAGGTAATACATTTATAATATATATATATATATATATATATATATATATATATATATATATATATATATATATATATATATATATATATTCTTAATTTAAATATATTTGTATTTAATATTTCTGGGTTGTTACACCGAAATAAGATATATCTTGAATCATGTTAAAATATAAAACAAAACAAAAATTTAGGTTAAAAAAATATTCTTTATATAGTAATAAAGTTTTATATTTATAAATCTTTAAAATAATATATTATAAAGAAATTTTGATTATTTATTAATAACAACAACTTGAAAATTATATTTTTTATATATTTAATTTTATCTATATTGTATGTCCAATTATCTAATATATTTTTATGTCCATTATTATATTGTCGATTATTTTTTATTTTTTTGGAATAAAGAAACTTTATATAAATCAAAAAGAGGCATATACAAGGGTACAAATGACCCCAACCACAAAACAACCAAAGAACCACACCTACTTTAAAAGCAATTGAGTTATATGATGTCTCATTATAGTATTAACCCATCCTCTATTTGCAAGGATAGAAATGACTAAATCTCTAATCTCCAACATATTCACCGTATTGCCAAAGACGACATTGTTACGATACCTCCAAACTTCATGGATGGTCTTTGCTACAGAGCTACGCAATATGCACTTCCTCCAGCCTTTTCCTTTACAATGTGTGATTAACCACTCAAGTGCTTCACGACAATCACAAGGGAAATGTTGATACCCCAACCACACCAGAATTTGTCGCCAACGGGTTTTAAACGACGGACAATCGAACAAAAGATGGTAAATTGTTTCCTCTTTGTCGCAGAATTTACAGCTGTCGTCGGTCGTAAGGCCAAGTCTTTTGAGTCGTCCCCTTGTCGCAAGTCTACAGTGGCAAGCCATCCACATAGTAAAAAGGGCTCTCGGTCTAGCAATAGTGTTGGATAACATGTGATTCCATCCAACATCAGGATCATCCTTCTTGAGGTACTGATACACTTTTCCCACCGAGTATTTCTCCGTCATTCCGTTCCAATCTTCCATGCCATTAATGATGAGCTTTTAAAATCCAAGACATACCCTGTTTTTCCTGGACCTGCATAATAACTATTGTTTTGAAATAAAACGCGTGGATCCATTTCACCCAAAGAGAATCCTTTTTGTTGCAAAGGTTCCACAACAGTTTTGTTAAACAAGTCGCGCTCCATTCTGATAAGTCCACCACATCCAGGCCGCCCTTCCTCCGAGGCTTACAGACCATCTTCCACGCCATTGGAGATTTTCTCGACTTCTCCTCGCTGCCTTTCCACAGAAAAGTCTTGCAAATAGAATTAATGGTTTTAGTCACATGCTTGGGGAAGGGGAGGCAACTCATCCAGTATGTTGTTATAGCAGTAATGGTGCTATTAATCAGCTGAAGTCTTCCTGCATAGCTCAGTAATTTGGAGCTCCAATGACGAATCCGGCTAACAATTCTGTCCACCAAACTCGTATAATGATGCGTAGAAAGCCATTTACAGGTGAGAGGAACACCCAAGTAGCGAAAAGGTAAATCCCCTTCCATAAACGAAGTAGAAGCCAAGATATCGTTTTTGGTCTCATTATTCACCCCCCCCCCCCCGAAGTACACCCTACACTTCGCAGGGTTAACCACTAAACCAGTGGACTGGGAGAACGTTTGCAGTTGATCCATAAGTAACTTAACAGACTTGCTGTCCCCACGGGTAAAGAGGAGAACATCATCCGCAAAACTAAGATCAATAATTTGCAGCTTTTCACACTTTGCATGGAAGTTATAGTTAGGGGCCTTGCTTAACTGGTGCAGGAGTTTGTGGAAGTACTCCATAGTTAAAACAAAAAGAAGGGGGATATATGGTCACCTTGTCTAAGGCCCCTTTTCGCCTTCATGCTTCTAGTAACACTACCAGCAACATTGAACTTGTAAGACACTGTTGACACCGCCAGCATAATCTATTTGGTGAATTTGTGAGGGAAATCAAATTCCTTGAGGATACACTCAAGAGCATACCAGTCCAGGGTATCATAGGCTTTTTAGATGTCAAGTTGTAACAGACATCTAGGAGTACCACCCTTTCTGTTGTAGCCTTGAATTAGCTCGTACGCCAATAAAATATGATCATGGATGTTCTGTCCAGGAATGAAGGCATCCTGGCTTTGACTGATAATACTAGTAAGAACCTTGCTCAACCTTCTAGTCAAGATTTTTGAAATAATTTTGTAAAGCGTAGTACAACAGGATATCGGTCTAAAGTCCTTCACACAATTACCACCATTTCCTTTAGGAATCAAGGATACAAGAGTACAGTTGACATCAGGGTACATCTTGAAGTTGTTGAAAAAATCCATAACTGCAGCAATGGTATCCTTTTTAATGATACTCCATGAAGCTTTGAAATTTTTTCCCCAAAACCATCAACACCAGGGTCTTTCAGGTCACCAATGTCATGTAGGGCACTATAAATTTCTGCTTCAGTGAGGGGACAAACCAACATATCTTTCTGATCACTGGTAATGTGAGGGCCATCGCTCATTGCAGTCAGGTTTATACCTTCCATGTCATTATTAGGACACCCCATGAGGCTGCCATAAAAAGACAACACCTCATTCTCAATGTCCTCAGTCTTGCTAAGCATGTCACCTGTCACAAAACACAGCTCAGTAATAGCTCTGTTGTTTTGTCTCGCTTTTACCTGGGCATGAAAAAACCTATTGTTGCCATCTCCCAGTCTGAGTCAACTGATTTTAGATCTCTGCCTAAGCACCTATTCCTCAATTTCACTCCAATAACATACCTCAGTTGATCTATTTTTTACAAGGTGAATGACTTCAGGGTTGTCAAGGTCCTCACTGAGCTGCAGTTGGGCCTCTTGTAAATTCTGTCTAGCATTCTTGAGAGCAGCAGTGGCACCCAACAAAGGCTTGCTAATCTTTTTCACAACATTTTGTATTCGAAGCAGTTTCCTCCACATTACAAACATGGGACTACCCTGGATAGGGAGATTCCAGCCATGCAATGTATTCTTGGAACCCCTCAACCTCAGTGGAACAGTTAAGGAACTTGAACTAAGGGGTTCGAATCATAGTATTTTCAGGACCAGAAAGCTGCAATAACGCATGATCAGAAATGCCAGGGGTAAGGATCTTAAGGCACATACTGATGTATTTTTGAAACCACTCAATGTTAGCCAGCCCATGGTCAATCCTAGAATGAATGATATTGTCACATTGCCGATTGGACCATGTGTAATAATCTCCAACATTATCCATTTCACTAAGGCTACAATTGTTCATCATATCAGTTAAATCTGCATACTCTTTCATCTGCACCATGGCTCCACCTCTTTTGTCAACAGTCTGAACAACATTGTTAAAGTCACCAATAAGGAACCACGGCCCATGTTTGTTATGGTTAATATGTTCAATATCGCTCCACAACTTCTTACGATGATCCAGTTTGTTTGCACCATACACTGCTGTGAGCCAGAATTGAAAAATACCCTGCATATCATAGACACCACAATGAAGTAATTGCCCAATGCTAGTGACTTTCCTGATATCAGTCTTAGCATTGTTCCACCATATCTATATTCTTCCATTAGCGTGATCAACATAGTTATCCATAAACGAACCCTTAAGCTTCATTTTGCACCTAATTTTGTCAGCCTTATCTTGCTTCACTCTAGTCTCAAGCAAAATACAAATCAATGGGTTAAGAGAACGGAGGCGGGAGATAACCTCTTTAGTCTTAACCATTTTATTCAGGCCCCTCACATTCCAAGACACTAGCATTGATTGGTGTTTTGGCTGCTTCCAGGATCATTCAAAATTCCCAGCAACCCAAAACCGTTTTGGCATTGGATATTGTCATCCTCATTGGCAGATCCTTTGAACTTCCCTTTGTTGTTGCTAGTGATCATTGTCCATACCTCATCATTCTGTTGGATATCCTTATTAGTGTCCCCTGTTGTTGTTGTTGTTCCATTACTAGTGTCCCCTATTGTTGTTGTTCCACTACTAGTGTCCCCTGTTGATGTTGTTACACTTTGATTAGCATTGACTTGCACTCTTTCCTTTTGTGTCTGCTCTTTCACCTTCATCTTCCATTCTTTAGCAGGCCTAGAAGGCTTATCACAATTATGACCGACCTTGTGGCAACGTTGGTAGTAAAGTGGTTTCCACTCATACTCAATCGGCTGGTTCAGTCGTGCACCTTTTTCGTCTCTTATCAGAATGTGTGTCTTTAGCTCTTGTGTAATGTCAATTTCCACCAGGATACGAGCATATGAAACCCTGAGCTTGTTTGTCGTGCACTCGTATGTTACTAGAGGTGTTCCTAATGCACTGCCTATTTTACTAAGGCTCTGCGCACCCCAAAGATTTAAGGGTAGCTGGGATAGTTTCACCCACAACGGAGCTGTTCTAAGCATATCCTTGCTCATACTGAAATCAGGTTTTCACTCACGCAACATCATTGGTCTATTACGGATTAAGTACGGTCCTTTCATCAAAACTAGGTCTTTGTATTGGAATGAGTGGAATCTGAGGATGAAGAAACCTTCCTCATTATAGAACATATCAGGTAATTTCACAAAATTCCAGCTCTTGCTCATAAATTGTTTCACCGCATTCATGCTGAGGTCCACACCCAAGGCATACATGATAAGGGCAGATTCCCAAAATTTCACTTCCTTTTCAACATCTTCCTCTTCAATTTGGATTTCCATTTCTCCATCAATAATCTTAGGGGCAACGAATTCCATGGTGAGGCTTGTTGCACCCCAAAATTTTCCCGACCTTTTTCTTGGCCGGCTTTTGTTTCTTTGCATTTTGCAATTTTTGCATTCCTGCATTTACATAGCATTTGTTCTCGAGGCAGGGGATCAAGGTTCCCGTGGCTCAAGTTTCATTCTCGTGCAAGCAATTGAACAACAAGCATCAAGAGCTTCAGCATTTATTTTGCCCAACAATCGAGCGATCGATTTTATTCTGTTTTGTAGGTTAATTTCAGATCAAGATTAGCACTCAGGCTCGTGACAAGCATTTTCATAGTGACAACGGTAAAAAATGAGGTTCAGCAGCTAAACAAAGCTCCAGACAGTTGAAACAGGGCAAATGGACAGATTTCCCTCCAAAAGGCGCCAAATTCAAAATTTTGAAGGTGTTAATCGGTTAACACATATGGTTAACTGATTAACCATTGGAAAATCAGCCCAGATTTGAAATTTCAACAGTGTTAACCGGGTAACGCATATGGTTAACCGGTTAACCATAGCAGAATTTGCCATGTACGTGATTTTTCAAGCCAAATGCACTTGGGGTCCAATTTTGATCACCTTGGAATTCAAATTCTCACTTGGGAAGGATCCGGAACACCTTTAAATTTCAGATTTCCCTCCAAAATCCCATTCCAAATTCCAAGCCTTGTTTTCCAATCCAAATTCCAATCCTTGCTTTGGATCCCAAACTTAGAGAGTATTTAAGAGATCCACTCCAAACCAAACCATCCAATTTTCATTTCTCACATTCATTTTCAGAATTGATCAGAATTCTCTCTCAAATTCTCTCAACTTCTCCATTTCCAAAACTCACTCAAAGCTCTTTTTCATTGGAAATTCTTGATTCTTCCTTGGAATCAATGAATTCTTGAGCATAAACCTCCATCTACCACCACCATTAGATCAATTCTCATCTTCAATTTTCGTGCAAGCTTGGATCTGAATCTAGAGTTGGATCTAGAAGTGATTATTTGAAGCTTTTTGACTCAAATTTGGTGGATCTTCATTCATACAACAACAATTATTTTGGATCTTGAAGTTTTCCGGATTTCTAGCATTTGATCTACTCGAATTCAATTGATCAACATTTACCGAAGCAAATCATCGCTTCGAAGGTTGGAATTCTCGATCAGATTTAATTGTTTGAGCTTATCATGTTAATCTTCATATTCGATTGAATTGTGTTGATTTCAATCCGTTCGATTTGTGATATTGCTGCATAATTGTGTACCCATGGTGTTGGATCTCTATTTTCTGTTGTTGATTTCGTGCTTAATTGATAAGTTGATATGTTGGAACCATGGATAAGTTGTTCTGTTGCTAGAACTGATTTTCTGCTGCTGTTTTTGGCTTCTGGTACAGTGTTAACCGGTTAACGTATATGGTTAACCGGTTAACCAATTCAAATATTCAAATTTTTTCAAGGTGTTAACTGGTTAACTCCTGGTGTTAACCGATTAACACCTACGAATTTCCAGATTTTCACTTGTTTTACACAGGTTAACCGATTAACAGCATGTGTTAACCGATTAACACTGTGGCAGAATGCCATATTTGCTGTTTTGCTCGCATGTTCGCATACCGGTTCAATTCGAATCATCATAAACCAGTGTGATGCATTAGGATTGAATTGTTTTGGATAATTGTCACTGTTAGTGGTTAATTAATCATGATTTTATTGACATGTATGTTTATTCTCCAATTGTTTGCATGCTTGTGTATGTGGTTCGAATTGAACATTTGTTTGCATGATCATTTGCTTTCATCTCTTGCTTTTCTCCACATGTTTGCATCATTCTTGCATCGCTATTGAGGTCGAGACGCGCTTGTGGCGGCTGCTGCCCCACACATTTTCCTCCCTCCCACCATTCTAAATGTGCATTTTCATGTTTGCATTTTTCTACTTGTGATTGATCCTTCCTTTTGCATTCTTGTGCTTTCTTGCCATGATCTCCATAGGATTCCTAGTCCCTCCGTTTAGGATGGGAGTAGGAGAGACATTAGGCGTTCAATCCAAGTATGCTAACATTAGGGTAGATGTTTCCCCTTTTCATCCAAACTTTAGGATCACATTGCATGACAACGTTATGGCTGAGTTTCCCTTAGACCTTTTGTGCGTCTCTCTTCTCATCTCAAAATCATGCTAACTCATATAATAAAGGCGATAAACGATGCCCGCTACGAGCCTTAAGCTACATGGGGAATGATGAGTGAGGGGTCTCCTCTCGCTTATCTAGGGTGTTTAGTATACGTCCCGTTTGGGGGCGATATACCAAGCATTCACCTCCATGTCATAGTCTTTAGTGTAACGTGAATCACAAACCAAATTAATTCACTTCACTAAAAAAACACAAAACAAACTTCAAACCTTTTTCCTTCGGGATTAATCGGAAACCTTCTTTTTTTCAGAAAAAGAGTGATGTTAAGCTTCGGTTCTACCGCAAACAGGCTTAGTCCCTAACTGCTGGAACAGATGTTTAACCCTACTCGACTAAAACACGTAATCGACTCGTGGTTTCGTGTCTGCCCGAACTACGTTTTCTCTGATCTTTCATACCAGATGAAAGTCTGTAGGCACAAGACGCGATGTCTTGGCGAGAAACCTTTCCCCCTTTCTTCCGTAGTTAGCCGAACTACGTTGACTCTGACTTTCCCATTGCACGAGGGAATACGTAGGCACAGAGCGGCGATGCTCTGCCGAGTCTCTTTTCTTTTCTTTTTATCCCGCAAGCCTGTAGTGTAGATAGTTTAAACATGCCCTGAGATAGACAACAAGCATGGATCCCGTCGAGTACGATGGACGTGAGAGGTGCTAATACCTTCCCCTTGCGTAACCGACTCCCGAATCCAGGACTTGGTTGTGATGACCTTGTCTTTCCCTTTTCGTCAGGTTTTTCCGATCGTTTCCTTTCCCTCTTGTTGGGATAAATAACAAAAGGTGGTGACTCTTCTGTTTTCCGCCGGGTGTTTTTTCGCAGTTACGACAGCTGGCGACTCTGCTGGGGAATCTGGTTCTATATGTGAGTCAATCCTAGCGCTTGTCTGTTGCGTCTTTGGGTGTTTATTTTTGCTTTATGTACATTATCTGTTGTATATTATTGCATTGCATTCTTGTTGCTGTTGTGATGTGGATTGGGTTGTTCCACCGAGAGATAAGCCGGACTTGGGCTTGAGTATACACATAGGATTAGAGTGGAGATTAGCGGGAGCTTGTGTGGCGTCTGGCTGCGCAATAGCTCACGTGAAATTCATATTCAGACGAGGTTTTTCTTTGGAAATATTCTATCCTGCGCGTCTGGTGCAGTTGAGGGAATATTGAATTAGAGAGACTGTCGACTCTGGAGACCGTTCATTTGGTAAGTCAGCTAAGTGAGGCCACTTCGTTAGACTATGATGCTAAACCGGAAACGGTGAACATATCATCGTTTCTCGAAAGTCTGTAACATTGACCACCCGCATAGAATGTCGTACCTTTCAAGGCGAGAACCCACATGTGAGAGGGATGGGTTTTTGCAAGAAACCTGGCCTTCAACCAACCCTGGTTTTCTCGTCAATGCAGAATTTTGATCCTGAGTGTTTCGTCCAGTGTATTATCTTAGTTTTTTTATTAGAGCGGAGCTCTGGTTGATTTCAGTCAACGACACAATAGCAAAGTTTGAGCATTGGATACCTTGATCCCTTGTTGCATTTACATTTGCATAATCATCCTGCATGTAACATTGCATGTCTATGTGTTCGAAGGTTCTCATCTCTCCTTTGATTCTGGTATGGGTTTTCTGAAGAGAGGGGGTTGTACACACGTTTCTGACACCCGAGTTAGGGCCTTTATTTGGTATAATCTCCATGGATGAGCCTGGCGTCTTTGAAATCCTCAAAAAGATTTTACCTGATGTGGGAAAAGATTATTGTGGTGCTCGTATCCATCCTTGTTGTTCCTATCTATTGAAACTGGAATCAAGGGGGAGATCTCCCTGTGAATACACGGACATGTTTGCATTTGGCATCTTGCACTCTCATTTGCATAGTAGGTGTTCTTGGTGGCCTTGTGTTCTTATCTCTGCTTGGTTTTCTTAAGTTTAGGATTGAGGAGTTCAATTTCCACAGGTATTCTACTCGAGGGAATTAGCAGAAGGTGATGGATCAGGTTCAGGCAAAATTGCAGGAATTCAGAACTCGCATGTCCCAGTTCATGGAGTTGATGCAGAATGTTGCCAGTGGACAGGAGCATCTGAGAACTCTAATTCAGCCTCTCATCGACGCTCCCTAAGTCAATAACAATGGAGTTGCTGGGGTCGTCCCTCTAGTTGGAGGATTTGTTCCACAGGGTATTCCTACTGTTGTCGTACCTCCGGGCGGAGGTGCTGCGAATGGAAATGGTAGTGTTGTTGGTGGAAGCATGGGCACTGTGCACCGGGCTACTGGCCCTAAGTGGGAAGATCAACAAAGTGATATCTTTTCTGTGAAGGATATGGAAGGTGGTTTGCCAACTGAAGCTGACCGAAGGTTCAAACTGATTGAGGAAAAGATGAAATCTCTTGAAAATTAGAACTCTCTGGGTCTCGACATGTCAGATCTTGGTCTAGTTCCCGGGGTCAGAATTCCTCCCAAGATCAAGGTACCAGATTTTGAAAAGTACAAAGGGACATCTTGTCCTAGAGTACACATCCGAGCATATTTCCAGAAGATGTCTGCTTACTCTGAGGATGAAAAGCTGTTGATGCATTGCTTCCAAGACAGTCTGACTGGAGCATCTTTGGAATGGTATATGGAGCTTGAGAGGACCAACATCCATAGCTGGAGAGAATTGGCTGAAGCTTTCGTGCGTCACTATCAGTACAATAATGATCTGGCCCCGAACAGGATACAATTGCAGAGTCTGTCATAGAAGAGTACTGAAAACTTCAAAGAGTACGCCCAAAGATGGCGAGATCTAGCTGCTAGAGTGCAACCTCCCATGGTGGAGAGAGAGCTGACCGACATGTTCA